ACTTGGACCAGCTTTATAAGCGAGTAAAGATGGCAGATATTTAATTTTTAGTTTTGTGAACTTTTGCATTTTAATTTTCCTTTTGTCATTGTTGGTGTAGGGCATCTTGTAAAGACTACATTCAATATTTGTTTAAAAGAATTTAGAAATGGTCGGAGAGGGATTTCTTGAAATAACAGGGGTGATGTGTTAACCTAGGTTTGTAAAGTACAGCAAATGCACTGTAAAATTGGTATAATAAGTGAAAATAACCATGCAAAACAATAAGTCCAAGCAGACCTTCCAGTATATATATATTTATAAAGCTGAGTTAGAGTACCATATATACTTGGATGTTGAGCCTAGTTGCAAACTGCAACAATGTGCATAGCCCAATCTGCAGACACACTGGTATCGGAGTTTATTAAGTTCATAAAGTAGCAGCCAGTAAAAAAAAATAAGATCTTGTTCTCTGAGCACACTTGACTTCAGATAGGGGCACATGTTGTTTACAGTTAGACTTGGCCTATTAATAAGTATATATGACGATCCAGTGTAACTAGTGCAATTGTCTTTTTTTTTTTTTGGTCTTATTCTGCCTGTTCCTCCATGGTGTCTTTTTCGTCAAAACCATTAGTACTGTTTACTGATGAGTTGATAATGTCAAACTTCACCATGGATAAGGCAGACCAAATAAACTCATGGAAACCTTGACTTTTTGTGCAGATTTTACAGAATCTTTAATCATCTAAAATTATTTTGAGTCTCGTGCCTGCCATTTTAAGGCCTCACCTGTAATGTTGATACTTGGGTATCACTTTGCAGTGATTATATCTTTGTTGACAGTTTTAAAGTACTATGCTTTTTTTAAGTTGCATATCTTGTACGTCATGCAACTTTTTTTTGCATTTAACTGAAACTCTGATAACATATTAATATATTTATCTGGTGTGTTCTCACATATACTAAGCTCCTGCTTTGCTAGCCTTAACTGAAATGTACATTATAAAAGCACTATTCACCAGCGAGATGCTGCTTTCCATGGAATACTGATAAAGCTGTGCCATCCTTTGCATTATGTTAAGTTTTTGGGATGTTGAAAGTAAAAGACAAAAGTTCTAGATCTGCTTTCGAGAAGCTTTTAAAGTTTTGAGAAAAATCTCAGCACATTTTTTGTACGCTCATTGTTTGTAAACTACAAGAGGAGTATTGGATTGAACCTTTGTTGCAAAACAAGCAATTTATTTTGAATTTTAACAGTGAGATCTTAAATTTGATAAATTTCAGTGTCAAAATCTTGAGCTGAGAAGTTTTAAGAAAGGGGTACTATTCTTGGCTAGCACAAAACATTAAACCTTGAGTATATACTCTGCTCAGATTTACAGAGTTTGAATTTTGTATAAAAAATATGGGAACATTGCTTTAAACACTTTATTATAACATGTAGTTATATAAAATAACTTATGTAAATTGGATAATATGTACCATATGACTTGCTTATGAGTCGAACTGCAAACTGCATAGACCAGATCTGCTGTTGCATAATGTGCTGTGCAGTTAGGCATAATCAGTAGAACAAATAACATAGAACCTAATCTGCAGGTGCATTATGCTATGTTGGATCAGGATTTTTGTTGTTTGCAGTTTGACTTGCAAGCGAGTATAGACAGTGACTTGTATGCACATTCAAATTGTTTTGTGTGATTTTATGAAAGTGGGACTTGGTCAGTCCTTGAGGAGAGCTTTTATGACTGGGGGACCTGGTCAGTCCTTGAAAGGTTTTATGAATGTGAGACCTTGTAAGGTCAGTCCTTGAGGAGAGATTTTATGAACGTGGGACCTGGTCAGTCTTTGAGGAGAGATTTTATGAGTGTGGGACCTGGTCAATCTGAGCTTTTGTGAAAGTGGGACCTGATCAGTCCTTGAGAATAGGTCCTTGTAAGATTTTTATGAATGTGGGACTTGGTCTGTCTTTGAGGAGAGATTTTATGAGTGTGGGACCTGGTCAATCTAAGCTTTTGTAAAATTGGGACCTGGTATGTCCTTAAGGAGAGGTCTTATTAATGTGGGACCTGGTCAGTCCTTGAGAGATTTTTATGAATGGGGCCTCTGGTCTGTCTTTGAGAGCTTTTATGAATGTGGGACCTGGTCAGTCCTTGAGTATAGAGGTTTTATGAAAGTGGGACCTAGTCAGTCCTTGAGAGCGTTTATGAATGGGGACCTGGTCAGTCTTTGAAAGCTTTTATGAATGTGTGACCTGGTAAGGTCAGTCCTTGACGAGAGATTTTATGAATGTGGGACCTAGTAAGTCTTTGAAAGCTTTTATGAATGTGGGACCGGGTCAATCTGTCAGCTTTTGTGAAAGTGGGACCTGGTCATTCCTTAGGAAAGGTTTTATAAATGGCGGAACATGGTTTTTGAGAGCTTTTATTGAAGTGTGACCTAGTCAATCCTTGAGGAGAGGTTTTATGAATGTGGAACCTAGTCAGTCCTTGAGAGCTTTTATGAAAGTGGGGACTGGTCAGCCCTTTGAGAGGTTTTATGAATGTGGGACCTGACTTCACATGCATTTGATTAAATAAAGGATATGTAATTCATGTGTGTACAAGTAGGAGCTACTTGTAGTCTGAGAAGTGACAGTGTTTGAAGAAAAAAGTAAAGATTTTGGAATAAAAAATCCAAGCCATAAAATTCAAATTCGTTGCCCAAGCTTTTCCATAAACCTTTGAACTTTACAAAAACATAAATGTTATTTGTATGTGACTTGTCACCATATGAATTAATTATTAGTAAGCAAATCTACCAAACAGTGTATTTTGTTTTTGTAATATCCAAAGATAGTGTAAATAGTTTTAATATGATATTTGAGGTCAATTTTCAATGATCCTTCATTATGACAAGGTTCAAGAGAACTGTAAAAATGGTCACATTTAAGTGAGGCCATATTACATTGAGGCAGCATATATTCTCATCTATACTGCAAACAGTATAGACCCCTGGTCTGGCATTGTGTAATGCACTGTTGTTTGTTCAACTGATTACTTCTCACAAACTCAAAAGACCTAGATCTGCTATCACATTGTGTGATTACAAATCTCAGTGCAGTTTCTATTTGGACTTGTAAGCAACTATATGCAGTTGGTTACAAGCTATGCAGTTTTATATGGAGCTGTCAAAACAAACCCACAAAAATAGTTATATAATGATGGGAAACAATAATTAAATGTTGTCATCCAGAGTCTGCAGTAGAGTGAAAGAAATGAAGTATATATGCAAGAAATTAATTTAGCTAAATTAATTGGGATCATTCATAATCATACCTACATTGTAACAAGGTGCTTTGTAGAGAGGTGTACTTTATATATTCAGTTGCATTTTGTCTTGCATACATCAACATTGATGCTGATTTGGGAACCTGTCATGCATGGTTTTGATTTGAAAAGGTAGTCTTATCAGGTAGTCTTCTCATTACCTGCAGCTGTGCACATAATAAACTTGCATACAAAAACTACTGTTGTAACAGGGTAAATTTTATACTACAGTAATAGAATATGGTGCAGACTAGAATCTTTAATAGCTATGAGGAATGGCAATGTCAAAATTTGGCTGTAGTGCTAGGAAAAAGTCCAGTAAAAATTATAAGAGTTCAATATTTACTCAGTTTTAGTTAATTTGCATTATTTCTTAATTGCCAGTATTATCATCATGATATGTCATGTTGTAACATTTTAGAATTTTACTGTTTTAAAGTTGAATGTAATCTAATAAAGATTGATGCATGTATGGCCTGTAAATTCTTAAAATACTCGAGTTCAAAATGTTGATACTGAGAATAAAAGGGGTATGTTCTCATATTAGCGACCTCCTTACTGGGTTTAAGTTACTGATACCATATTCATTTGAAGATAAATGAAGATTGACACAGCTGAGCTTGAATTTACTTGGAAATTTACAATACAGGATAACAGACTCTTAATGTTTTATTTTTAGAACTTTTAATTTTGATTTACTCCATATAGCCATTATTGTGCTAAGGTGCCATTGAGTTCGCAGTTCGTACATACCTAGTTTGAAAGACGCATGGATTTCTGTAGTTTCTTACAGCATTTAGAATGCTCATTGTTAGATACACAATGTCTCCATGTATTTATTCTATTATTCTTTTTTTTTTTGTATGAAACTGTTATAAACAAATATATTAGGATTATTAAATGAGAAGTGTTAGGACAATATAAAAATATCAGGACATTAAAATTATCATCAGGATTCATGGTCCATAAGGTTGTTGAGACCATACTTATAGGTTACTGCACTTATAGGGATAGATATGAAAGAGATGTTTTTAATTACCTAAATGACCTTTGGGAGGATATTGGGAATATTTTTTAAAAAAAATTAAAACGATTTTGATGTATCCATAAAATGTTGATGAAAAAATGAAATAGGGCAACAACAGTATAGAACATAAAGAAAATAGAGGAAATCATCTTGGCTTGTAAATTGTATTTCGATATGGTTTACTAAATTTGCGTCAAGAGGGTACCATTATATTATAATACAAGATTTACACATTGGTTTCATTAAATATAAATCCACATCACTGAAATATAATTTCAGAATGATTTAAGTTTCATCAGTAAACCACCTCAGGTGGCTATGTGGTTACAGTGTCTGTCTCAGATGTGGGAGGTCGCTGGTTTAATCCCCGGCAGTGTCATACCAAAGACTTATAAAAAATGGTATTAACAGCTGCATCACTAGGTGCTCAGCATTAAGAGGTCTTATGACTGCTCAGCCTGGTATCAGAATGAAGTGACTGGTGGGACATGATGCTACATGTCAGTAGCATGATGTCATAGTGCTAGACATCTCCCACACTGCAGACATCATAACAGTATGACTGAAAAATTAAGCTATGTTAAAAATCCAAAACGCACAGATCATTACACTGGATATATTTTAAGAAGAAAAGCAACAATCCAGGATAACAAAGATGCTAAAATATACTAACAGGGTCCAATAGCTCTGGTGGCTCAGTGGTTAGGGCGTCTGCCTCGGGTGCGGGAGGTCACTGGTTCGAACCCCATCTTAGTCATACCAAAGACTTGTTTTTAAAAAAAACTGTACCTAAAGCTGCCACGCTAGGTGCTCAGCATTAAGACATTAGTATTTGGACTGGTCAGCCTGGTGTCAGGATAATGTGACTGGGTGAGACATGATGTTACATGTCTGGCGCATGATGCTTCTGTGCTAGACATGTTAACTGCTACACTGCAGACAGTGTAGCGATATGACTGAAAAATTGTTAAAGCTATGTTAAAAATCCAAATCCCACACGCACACACCCTCAAATCAATTAACATGAGATATTAAACCTGTGGTTTGCAGAGATATGTATTGCAATTAAGTATTTTACCATGCATTGAGTAATATTGCCAGAGTACCATTGGTGTTTCAAGAATTAAGACCACAAAATGGAAAACCTATGGTGTTCTTAAAGATAACTAGGAGCTTAAAACAACAAATATTCATTGGTGAGAGAAATCTTGTCAAAGCTTATATAACCAGAGGCACGGTAACATTAACCAAAATCCGAATACATGTTATAGGCAAATATAGTTTCAGCAAGTCATGAATGCAGTTTCAATTACAATTGTCAAATATAGTAATGTCAGTTAAATGATCATCTATACATTAATTAAAATGAACTAGATGCAAATATCACTGTAATGATTGTCATTCATTGGTCCAGATTTGGGTTAAAGCTGGTGCTGCATAAGTTAAAATTCCGAAATAGGTGCATTAAAGTTAAGATGCATGAAGATTGAGTCGCATTAGGTGCTAGCTTTGATGCAACGTTTTAAAAAAAATTAGCATAGTTTCTGTTGCATTTGCAAGAAATAGTTTCATTTGAAAGACTTCACTGACAATTTTAGTGGCGTATGCAAAACGGTCGGAATCGCGACTGTTTACCTTGTTATCGTATGCTGTGCTAAAATCAATGACAGTTTACTTTCTGTTTAGAATTTAATTGTGCTTTCTGTTAAATGCATGTAACCTTTACCATTGTTTAGCAAAGATCCGGGAAAAATCGAGAAAGCAAATAATGACGATTTTCCCAGGGACTCTAATAGTATCCAGCAACAGTTGATATGCTTTATTAGTGTAGGTGGCTCTCTACAGTTCCTTTTTTAGCATAGGGTTAAAATTTTAAAGAAAAAGAATTAACCCGGATTTTGTCACTAATTATGCTGGTTATTTAAAAACGACTTTGTATATCTTTGGCCTTGTTCAAAGAACATTTAAATTCCTTTTATTTTGGTGTATGGGTGATGGGTGTAATATGGATTAGAGAATATACAGCTTGGCCTTACTCCAAATATGCACCTTTCAAAAAAAAAAAATGCTAGTTCCACTTGCACATTTTCACTTCCCGCTTTAGAGGCAAATTGTGAAGAAAAAAAAAGAGCCAATTTCAGAATCTGGTATTGTCTAGTCTGGCAACATTCATTTTCCCTATTTTAATAGCTGCCAGGGATAGTGTAATTTAAACAAATTCAGAGTGATTTTTGGAGCACAAAGGAGCAGTCATTTTAGTCAGCAGTCTGCTAAGATCATTTAAAATTTCAAAAAGTACAATATCTAAAGAAATGTCGGCCACAATGCATGAAAGTAGCATAGACGTATGCCAACATTCTCTCCACTCTGCATGTTTTAAATGAAAACAACTTCACCTTACATACATCTCTATCTCAAAAGTACATAATAACTGGTGAGCGCCACCGTAGTGATTCCATGAATAGGTATTTTAAAAAAAATCCTATGGAACAACGAAAAACTATTTCATTCAGCAAAGATTATATAATTTATATTTTTCTGAAAGAAGGAGAATATATAAGAATTAAACAGTATAATCGGGTTTGTTGATGCCCATAGATTCTTTTGGACACCTTGCTAAAATTTAGGTAACCAAACATTTACAGAGACAAAAGCATGTTACAGACATTTTTCATAATGAACCTTGCTAAGGAGATGCAATGATGCCATAATATTGGAGAATGTGAATACATGGATAGCTTTTAAAGGTTTCTTAACACGGTTGTATCACCATCACAAAACGTTTGATCACCGTGCAACTACTAAAACTATAGTTGACGAGTGCCATGTTGATGAACATTTTAACTTGAAGATGCGTATAAATATCTACATTACCACACAGAAAACACAATTGCTATGTGACGCCAAACACACACACACACACACACATATATATATATACATACACACACACACACACACACACACACAGACTGACCAGGTCCCACTTCCACGAAAGCTCTCACAGATTGACCAGGTCCCACATTCTTGCAATCTCTCCTCAAGGACTGACAAGGTCCTACTTTCACAAAAGCTCTCAAGGACTGACCAGATTCCACATTCATAAAAGCTCTAAAAGACTGACTAGGTCCCACATTTATAAAATCTCCTCAAAGTCTGACAAGGTACCCCATTCACACATACATTTCCCCTACAACTGGGACTCAAAGTTTCGTCCCCAAAGATCAATGTTTCCACTGTGAATATCAGAAATATTTCATCATCACGGCGACGAGATTTGAACAAATCTTTCATTTGCAGGTTGTGAAAAAGGATATATTTGGTCGCTAAAATATACTTTTGACCGATCGAGATCGATGGTAAGTTTAGTATATTTCTGTTGACTGATCGGAACGTGAAAGTTTTTAAACTCCGATGATAACTTCTGGCTCAACTGTTCAAGGTAATCGAAATATCCACTGTCATCAGATCCGATGACCAACAGTTTTAGCTTGTAGCGATCTGTGGCAAAGCATATCCGTGATGTTTCATTATGAATTTCAACTGTCAACTGTTTTGCCGTCTATCGTTAGAGATTTAATTTTGCTATTGTAGCGATTAGTGACTGCCAAATTTTTAAACATTATTTATATTTTTCACACATAATTACATACCCTAGACGCCGTAAATGATCAAGCAGATCTGTTTCACGACAGTGCCTGAGTGAAAATGTATCCACTCCATTTTCGCAATAACGTTTATCATCAAAATTGCTCATTCCACGTTTGATAATAACATGTTTCGTTTTATGACGATTCGTTCGGCCATTGCTCTTATAAAACTAATGCAGCAGTCGAGCGCGTACTTGTAACCGTCAAATTTCATAAATTTTTTTTACAACATTTCGGGGCAGACCTTTTTTGCCTTTTCCGTTATGTTATTATTGTCTAACAATACCGTGTACATTTTACAGCGCAATCCGATAAAGAATTTGATAATATTTTAATTCATTTCATCTTTGAACTTACCTACAATCTTTTTATTCGTGTCGTGAAATTTACTATCACGAGGGTAATCGGAAAGATCAAACAGATCTCTATTGTCTTAAATATCCTGATAGACATCATCACATTCGATTTCATACACGAGCGAATTGGTATCAGTAAACAATAATCTACTGGACGGCCACTGATGTTCAACAAAATTATAATGAAATTCGTACATCAGCCATTTCGATAAATCTAACACAGAAGTTCCAATGTAAATCGGCTTATTGATCATCGGGGACGAGGTTTGAAAATTTGACAGTCACAGTAGCATGGGAAATGGCGGGGTTATGGATCACAGACTCATAAAAAGTCCCAAATAAATACGGTTGTCGAATATATTCTCATATGAGATAGTTCACAAGGAATGATGAAGTTTATGATGAGGCATTAGATATTCTGGTCATCCACAAAATGGTAATCTTTTGGGTGTTGACGAGGTGGTCGGTCGTACTTGTTTGGTCCTTTTCATAGGTCTCTGGGCCAGAAACTGCCATTTCTACTACTACGCAAACCACATTTATGCTACTCAGTAAGTTCAACTCAGAAATTTCAGAAATAAATAAATATTTAAGAAAGGATGACTGACATAAAGAATTTAAAAAAAGATGATCCACAAAATGGTGATCTTTTGGGTGTTGACGAGGTAGTCGGTCGTACTTGTTTGGTGCTTTTCATAGGTCTCTGGGCCAGAAACTGTCATTTCTACTACTACGCATACCACATTTATGCTACTCAGTAAGTTCAACTCAGAAATTTCAGAAATAAATAAATATTTAAGAAAGGATGACTGACATACAGAATTTTAAAAAAAGATGATGAATCAGCATAACTGTATCGCAAATGTGATGCTACCATTTCCCGCATCTAATTACAAGACGAAGTAAGTTGGCGAAGCCTGACATGCCTATAGCATTTATGCACAAGGATAAAACGACATTGTTACAAATAACAGTTTAGTTCGTATTATACCAAAATATATACAATCGAAATGTCACAATATAAACTGCATTTACTATAAATTCGAAATTTACACACAGATATACTAAATACCTATATTAAAACTTAGAATAAATATTGACATGTAATTAAAATTGTCTTCTATCTTATACAATTAACTTCGTGTGGTACCATTAACTCATATTTTTTTCTTTTCATTCAAATTAGCATACATTGATTGACTTCATAAAAGTTACTTTAATAATAAATTTACTGTGTACATCTTTTTTCGACGATTTAGCGGTTTGATTATGTTCTTTATTGTAGACATCAATGAATAACTTCGTGATTAGTGGGAATAACCATTAGAAGATTGCTAATTATTGTTTGAAAAAAAATCTGATTTATATAGAAATTTACGGTGTGTGATAAATTGGATATTTTTTCATATAAATAAGCGCGCATTCATTCAGAGCCGTTTTAAGAAGTTTGTCGGGTCCTAGGCACAAATTCTAACCTTAAAAATAACCAGAATTGAGTATTGTATTGCATTTTCATATGCATGTTTGTCATTTTTGTAAATTTATTAATATAGTAATAAACTGCCAACCGATAACGAAATTTTGTTTTTTTGTCGCCGCGGGACCCCCTGCTGCTCGATGCCCTAGGCATGTGCCTCGCGTGCATATGCCTTAAAACGGTATTGCATTAATTAATCTAATAAAAGTGACTTTAATTATAATTTACTGTTGACATCTCTTTCGGCGACTTAGCGATATGTTGGTATTGCAGA